AAAACACGATTGCATTTCAGTGTTGGAACTTTTAAACCACCACACACTTATGAATGGATATTGGATTTATAAAAAGAAAACCTTCAAAACAGTTGAGTCTTTGTAGAAGACTACTTTTATACTATTAGGAAATATTGGATTTCCTAGGAGTCTTTCGAAACATTTGCAAAAAAAATATCATTTGATTTTATTAAAACATTGTCACTAATTACTTATGAACTCACCAGCTTAAATGCTGACCTACTCTTTCAAAACTACTTGTATTTCTCAGGGATTCAGTAATACAGGTAAACTACTGCTTTTGAAGAAGGGATGCTGCGGCGTTAGTTTAATTTCATTTTGACAACATATTGTAATTGATATTTTGGAACCTGTAATACCTACAAACGGTGTAACTTTTTCAATTATATATATGTTGGTTGTGTTTGCTTTCTTTACTATGTATTCAACTGTTTCGATACTACATGAAGTCAACCGCCCTCGAACGATTCCGCTGTTCTGGTTTGGGGGTGTGACAGATTGGTATCAGAGCATTGTTTATAGTGAACTAAGTATATCGAACCACATAAGATATACAAACTATAAATGCAAAGGGACTCAAAGTCTCTGACAAAACATTTTTACACCTAAAACCTTGTTTCATTTATATTAGATTGTTTTGGGTCGTAAAAGTACAAACACATGCATGCAACAATATATTTTTATGGTTAGAAATATACAAGAAGTATTAAGACAAGTTGGACACTATGATTAGGACTCGACATATGTAATCGGATTTGGGATGAATATAGCCTGATCAACTATATTTATCCGATATTGGACTAACGTGTGTCGAGGAATGGTCGTAGTGAGCAACAAGTCAAAACTTACCAAAATAAACATTAGTATCAAACATACAAATTTAAATGCTATAGGACTATCTGGTACGTGCAATAGTTTAATCGACATGCTTAGTTTTACATGCTTCAAGTTTTATTCAATTCCTTTAACCCTATTCTCGTATAGTCAAGTGGCTGGATTCATTCCACACGGAGACCCCTACTATCTCAACCAAGGTAATGGAGGATGGGTCGAAGAAGATCCCGAAGAGGATGAAGAACCTATCGAGTTGGATGAAGGGGATGACTTTGGGATAGACTCAGAACTAGAGGTAATCAACCCACCACCCGCACAACCCCCTGTCTTTGCGAGAAACTTTCAGGGACCGACTCCCGTTTGGGGAAGTCACCTCCATCATTGGAGCCAGCAACAAGGGATACGTCCTCCCTACGACATGTGTCGGGATTTCTACAATGTTCGTGGCAGAGGTTCGGCCGATCGAGCACTCCCAGTCATGGTGGGCAAGCTAGCCAACCAGTCCTATCAATCCGGGGTTCAAGATAACCAGATTCGAGAAGTCAACGTGGAAGTACAGGTGCACACTTCCGACATCCGCCGGCTGGATAGGTTGCAGGATAAGACCTAACTCCGCGCCGATGCGTTCCAAGCACAAATGATTGCATCCATCTTTGAGCTGAGGGAACAACAAGCCGCCTTAGATAGGCGCCTTATGGAGGCAAAGCAATCATACGCGGAGTCAAGCTCCAAGCGCAACCTACATCGCAAGTAGTGCTTGTTGATCCCAAAATTTTGATATAGAATAGGACCATCGGCTAAAAGTCTTACTTTCTTTAAGTTCCTGTAATCGAAAACCTTTAGAAAGGTCAAAATTTTCTAACTTCGGATGTAACGCAACCATATGTTTAATATATATAAGGCATATCTCTTTCGTGTGTTAAAAATGTGCATTTTAGGCGAGTTCACGAGTTTGGTTATTTATTGTTTAACTCCATTGGTAAAACAAACTCCAAGCCCTGCGTTGGTCAAACCAAATTTTCGAACTATTAAAGATAGTTAACTCACTGTCAATCAACTCTCAACCACCAAAACTTATGATCTTTTTATTTTTTTTCCTATTCAGCACGATGCCGCCCCGTAGATCTACACGCCGTGTCAACAACGCACCACCTCCACCACCACCTCCCCCGATGGAAAATGCGGCTTTGATAGCTGCTGTAACGGCTGCAGTAACAGCGACAATGGCCCAAATGAGTAACAACGGTTCTGGTGGGGGAGTAAATAGTTCTATGAATGGCCAACATCAAGGTCGTTCAGGGGATTGTACATATAAGGATTTCATGAATAGCAGACCCATTACTTCTAATGGGACTAGAGGGATAATGGCTCTATCACAGTGGATAGAGAAAACTGAATCAGTTTTCGAGATTTGTTCTTGTCCAGAAGGGAGCAAAGTGAAGTTCGCCGCATGTACCTTCTCTGAGAGAGCTCTGACATGGTGGAATGGCCATGTCAATTCACTAACACTAGTAGTAGCTAACTCTATGGGCTGGGAGAATCTAAAACAAATATTACTGCAAGAGTACTGTCCAAGGGGCGAATTACAAAAACTCGAACAGTGACTGTGGGGCCTTACTATGGTAGGCTCGGACATCACGACCTATAGCAATAGGTATAGTGATTTGGCAATCCTTTGTCCAGGGATGCTTGCTCTAGAGAGCAAGAGTATCGAAAGATACATCTGGGGACTGTCACCCCAAATTCGAGGAAGTGTTCTAGCTTCCAAACCAATCACCTTCGATAGCGCCAAACAGTTGGCACAAGCTCTCGTGGACAATGGGATCTGCCAAAACTTCGCAACCACCGCACCGGAGCAACCCAGAATAAGCAACAACAACAACGATAATACCAACAACAACAACAAGAAGAGGTTCTGGAGCAAAAGGAAGAGTCAACCTTCACAAGAACCTTCCAAGAAATAACAGATTGTGGTAGTCCATGCCGCTACTGCCCCCACTACTACTCTTGTTACCTCCACCCCAGTAAAGCGATATACTGGGAACTTCCCGAAGTGCAGCAAGTGCAATTTCCACCACAATGGAAATTGTCGGGAGATACACTGCAACAACTGCAACCAAAAGGGGCACACTGCCCGTTTTTGCAGGGCACCGGCACGACCAATTACCCAAGTCCCTGGGGTCGGTGTGGGTCAGACGTGTTATGGTTGTGGTGAGGCTGGACACTACAAGAGGGACTGTCCTAAGGCAAGGAACGTTGGCAGCACGGGACGAGTGCTGGTAATAGGGAAGAACGAAGCGATAGCTGATCCCACGGTGGTTACGGGTACGTTTCTCCTCAATAACGTTTATGCATGCATACTCTTTGATTGTGGTGCGGAGAGGAGTTTCGTGAGTCATAAATTCAAGCATGTACTAAAACAGAACCCTAAAACACTCAATAAGATATTTACAGTAGAAATGGCAAATGGTAGAACAGAAAGCACGAACAACATGTACATAGGATGCACACTAACTCTAGACGAACACTCATTTCAAATCGATCTAATGCCGATCACTATAAAGAGCTTTGATGTCATCATCGGTATGGATTGGTTAAGCCTACACCATGCCGATATACTTTGTCACGAAAGGGCCGTTCGCCTAAATCTGCCAAACGGCGAAACCCTTGTCATTTATGGTGACAAACCCAGTACCAATTTACAAATCATCTCTTGCATCAAAGCCCAGAAATACCTACGTAAAGAGTACCATGCCTTCTTAGCCCACGTGGTAGATAAGGAAAAAGAAACGAAAGGTATCAAAGACATTCCAGAAGTCTGCAATTTTCCCGATGTCTTTCCTGAAGATCTTCCCGGAGTTCCACCAGAACGTCAAGTCGAGTTCAGGATCGACTTAATTCCTGGAGCTACATCAGTAGCCAAGTCGCCCTACCGTCTAGCACCGACAGAGATGCAGGAACTATCCAGCCAACTAAACGAACTACTCAACAAAGGGTTCATTAGGCCGAGCTTCTCACCTTGGGGAGGACCAGTCTTGTTCGTAAAGAAGAAGGATGGATCTTTCCGCATGTGTATCGATTACCGAGAACTCAACAAGCTCACTATCAAGAACCGATATCCCTTGCCACGCATTGACGACTTATTCGACCAAATCCAAGGAGCGAGTTATTTATCAAAGATCGACTTAAGATCCGGGTACCACCAACTACGAGTCTTGGAAGGAGATGTCGCCAAAACAGCTTTCCGAACTCGTTATGGTTACTACGAGTTTGTAGTGATGCCCTTTGGATTAACAAACGCACCGACAGTGTTCATGGACTTAATGAACCGAGTATGTCGTTCATTCTTGGACAAGTTTGTGATTGTATTCATCGATGATATACTCATCTATTCAAAGACTAAAGAGGATCACGGTCAACACCTCCGACAAGTCTTGGAAACGCTAAGAAAAGAGAAGCTATACGCGAAATTCTCCAAGTGTGAATTTTTGATTCGAATGGTAGATTTCCTAGGTCACGTGGTTAACAAAGATGGAATACACGTGGACCCTTCTAAAATCAAAGCAATCGAGAACTGTTCAGCTCCAAGAACCCCACACTACTAGAAAAAAGGCCTTTTACGACGCGCAAAATACGACACTCATTGATCTATGTTACGCAAGGGAGAGTGACATTAGAAAAATGTCATCTCTTCAAAAAATTTTAGGATAGAAGACACGCATTATTGCGCGCCCTTAAATTAGTGTCTAAAAAAAACACGGAGGTCACCTATAATAAAATGCGCGTCGTCTAAGGATGTCGCTTTATATTTTTTAATGGAACGCGCGTTCCATCCTTTAATAGTGGGGGAAAGGGGGAAATGAAATTCTGAAAAAATTAAAAACCCCGCCAAGCTCTCCTCTACCTTCTTTCAATCGTTCTTCTCTCTCTCTCTCTCTCTCTCAATCAAATACCAAAAATCGACTATTGTTGGAACTAGGGTTCCGGTTCTTAGTGAAATCGAAGGTTTTTTGGTCACCAGGCCATGAAATTGATCAAAGGTTTTTTGGCCTAGAACCACCAGGCCACCCTTTTCCTCCATCCATGTCCCTCCTTTCTGTCTATCTCTAACAGACCACTGCAACATCACATTCACTTCTCCTGGCATGCGACTGCGACTCCCAAAAGATTTAGTGTTATGCTCGATGCTTCTCAACAAAATGGATCGAGGTGTCAGCGCTCCTATCTCATAGAGATTTAGGGATTTCTTGGTTCAAGGTATCGAATCTCAGACATCAACGACTTTTTTTGATGACCCGGTCAGATAAAGACGTTTGATGAACTAAATTTGTGTATCTGACTCGGAAAGCTTAATCTAGTCGGGTACAATGGAAAAAATCGACTAACTGAGAAAGGAGGAAGAAAGGGAGAAGGGTTTCCAATTATACCCTTGCCCTACCAAAGGAAGAAATCAGCGACTCCATCGTTTCTTCTCCTACTTCAACGCCAATTTTTTTCTCCCGCAACAACCAATCGTCGACGACCCTCTACTCATTTGTTCCAATTTTTGAAGTCTCCTTCCCCTTCTCATCAGGTACGCTTCTTCCTTTTTCCTCTTCTCATCAGGTCCGATTTTTTGATAATATATAGGTTTTGATTTATGATTTTTCTGTTGAACGTGTATGGTTCTTCATTGAATTCTGAAAATATCTCAAAGAATTTAGGCCCTGTGTTCAATTTCATCATATTTCTTTTGTTTTAGACTTGTGCTCAATTTCAAGGAGGGAGACAAGGACTCCATTAGAGGTGAAGACGATGGGAATGATTCAGAATTTTCAAATTATTCTGACGATAACCCTCAACATCAAAGAAAACCTAGTTCCTTAAACCCATTGTGGCCTCAAAGTTACAGGTATGACCCCATCCCACTTTTTTGGATTCTACTTTAATTCCTTATACAATCAACAATTTATAAGATTCCGCTGAAATTCTGTAACAACAACTGCATTCATATATATATATATATATATATATATATATATATATATATATATATATATATATATATATCTTATATATATAAATAAGGCCGGTGCTTTAAGAATCGAGGAAAGCGGGTCTTGAAAATTTATGAGATTTTTTAAGGAATTTTCTTAGAGTTATGAGGATTTTTTTTAGGGAATTTGAGATTTTGCCAAATCAGCGCTCTGATCATCTCTCCCTTTCTCCGAATCTATCCCTATCTTCTTCTCTAATCCAATTCCCGAAATGGAGTTCGAATCCAACAATATTTCTGAAGACAACAATTGCGGAAGCAGCGGAGAAGATCGATGTCGACAACCTGGCTAGTTTTCTGTTGGAGGTGACGGTGAGTGAATTTTATATGTTTATTTTCTACAATTCAATGTTTTGATTGAGGTTTCTCTCATTACCATTTAAAATTCAACTGATTTGCGTACTGTATAGGCTTCGATCGGAACGGGAAGATATGTAATTGTGACATTTCTCTGTAGTTTTTTGTTTGGATTCAGCTTTAATTACTGTGTAGTTTATCAAAGTTTAGTATAGTTCTAGGATGAAAATTATTGTCAATATGGTTGTAGATTACATACACAACTTCATTCTCACACAATTTGATTATTAGTTGAAATATAGGAAGCTAATCTTTATAACTTCTTTGTATGTGTTCATAGACTTTAATCGAGGCACAACAAGATATACAGTTGATGAGGTTTGCCGACTATTTTGGACGTGCATTTTCTAGCGTGACTGCTTCACAATTTCCCTGGGTGAAGTTATTGAGAGAATCTCCTGTTGCTAAGGTTGCAAATGTTAGTTCTCCTCTTAGACTCTCTCTTCATATAATGTAATTCAAAAGGATTCGAACTTATGCTGCCAAATTTTAGGCCCTGTGACTGTGTTCTCTACTAATTAACATGATATCATGGTATAAAGATTTTGAAATCTGAATATTTCAAACTGTTTGTGTATGATTCAGTGCTTTTTGTATCAAAATATACACTTTTACTATTTTCCACACACACACACAAAGCTTCTAATCCACTTTCTCTCAAGTGCAGAATCCTGTGTCACATATTCCTGAGGCTGTTTACAAAACCTCAGTTGATTGGATCAACAAACTATCCATGGAAGCCCTTAGTTCTTTTCTCCTTTGGTCCTTAGACAGCATTCTTGCTGACTTTGCAATTCAACAAGGTGGCATTATATATATATATATATATATATATATATATATATATATATATATATATATATAAGAATCAGTATAGAATATTAATGCGGGAGTGTTTGTAGCTTTTTGGGTGTGCATATCTTGGACCATTTGGGCATTTCTACCACTTATTGTTGGATAAGTTGTTCAAGGGCAAAAAAGACACGACAACAGTTGCCAAAAAGGTATCCTAAGAACCTTTGATAATAAGGATAACAATGGAAATTTACAATCTTACAACTGAATTATATGACACCTAATTCGCGATTTGATCTATATATTTGTAGGTGTTGCTTGAACAAGTGACATCTTCTCCATGGAACAACTTGATTTTTATGCTTTACTATGGGCTTGTTATCGAGGGTAAGGTCTTTTTGGTTCCTTGTTTGAATAAATATGTTGACTATAATTATTTTAGTAGATAAACGATTATGAATTGGTTTAATGCTAATGGGGGTGTTTGGATGTATGATTTGAAAGTTATTATTTTGTTTTGAAAAATAACAAAATCATGAGTAATGATAGAAATAAGTTTTTCTATATAATCTGTAAATAAGTTTTCTTGCATTTAACCTTTTTAAAGTTGATATCATTTTTCAACTTTAAAGTCATATAATAATTTATGGTCATGTATATATATGCAGGAAGATCATGGATCCAAGTGAAATCTAAAATCAAGAAGGAATACCCCACAGTACAATACGCAGCTGCCATGGCTTTGCCACCTTTATCTATTCGAGGTGATTTGGGAGTTGTTTCTACTGCTGGAGTTAGATATGCATATCCACTCCTAAAATCATTTGCAAAAATGGGACCTCAAGGTGTTCTTGGTGCCACAAAGCTTTTACGCCCTTTTTCAGAAATAGTTGATTCATTGGGACTCAAAGATCCTTTCATTAGAAATTGGGTGGATCTTTTGTCTTTCTTACTTGCTGGAGTGAAATCCGATGGTGTTCTTTCAGCAGAAATGGTACATAATCATATCATACATTAAAAAGTTTCTTTTAAGGTAGTTTTACTTTTTGGTATGATGGAATTGAGGAAGGAATGGAATGGGCTATTCCATTACCACATGTCCTCATCCATTCCATTCCAACCAAACAGAATCCATTCTATTCCTTCATATTTTATAGTTCTCTAAATGTCTAATCTTTTGCCTGTATATATATCCACATATTTGCAGATTTATATGTTTGCAGAATGGTATAAACCAGGTTGTAGTTTAGAATACCCTGTTGGTGGAACTGGAGCACTTGTTGAGGCTCTTGTTCTCAGATTTTCCTTCTGATAAACTTCCAAAAATGTCAGAACCTTCACAACTTATGACAGAAAATACACGTTCTGATCTTTATGTTGCACTCCCTGTTCTCAGTCAAGGAAAGAAATGGGTCTTACTATACAGGTAAAATTTCATCTTCATCATATTTTCAGTTTCACATTATTCTTGAATCTTGATATATCATTATCTTTTTTATATGTTAGTACATGGAGGCATGGCATATCTCTTTCAACCTTATATAGAAGAAGCAATCTTTGCCCTGGGTTAAGTCTACTGGTAATGTCTTGTCTTCGTTTCTCTATATGTTGACAAAAGACTTTTCTACCCTTTTTCACTATGATGAGTAAATACTATACAGGGATCGAATGATACATTTGTGTTTACAAATACACCAGGGCGTCCTGTTATATATCGCCCCACAGGTACTGCATTTTCTTGATAATATATAAAAAAATCTTTTATAATTTTAATATTTATTTGGGATTTATTATGTTAATTGTGCATTTATTAGGGGTGAATCGGTATTTTACTCTTTGTTCAACTGAGTATTTAGCGCTTGGTGGGGGAAATCATTTTGCATTGTATCTCGATAGTGACTTGTAAGAGTGTTGCACTTGCATCATTCCTATTTTTCTTTTTGAGGGATAATATGGTAATTTGGCAATTTGCATATTTTTTTCCCCAGATTGAATGGGTCAAGTTTGGCCTCAGAAACTTATGGTAACTCTTGTTTGTCACACACCCAAGAATTTGAAGTGAAGGAAATTGAGGTGCTTTCTCTCACTTATTTTTGCAAAAATTACATTTTTGGTCCTCGAGTATGGCTGATTTTGTTCAATTTGGGTCCTACAAAATTCTCTTGCAAATTTGATCGTTATTTGAGGTTTTTGTAACGTTTTTACTCTTCGTTCCAAGTAAAATGAGTTGGGACTAAAATTGAAAAGATCAGCAATTGACAACCTTTCTCTGTGTTCAATGCTTTAGCTGTGTTTGCTCTAAGGGAGATCAACTTATCACAAGTAAGTTACTGTTTCACCCTTTTATTTAATATTTTTGTGATTGAATGAAAGTCTTAATGAAAGTAATTGACAACCTTTCTCTGTAAATGATGTTGTGATTGTGGGAGAGGTGTTGTGTTTTTCTCTGTTGCTAGGTAACCTTCTCAACAACAACATTCTACTTAAGCAGGTGAGTAATCAAGATTAAGGGAGACTTGTAATCATGTTTGACATTCCTTTCCAGTAAGAAAAAGAGTTGTATGATTATTTGTTAGTTTTATAGGAATGTATAACCCATGTTAGCAATGTTTTATTTTTGTTTAACATTTGAATGATTCTTTGTATGACATTACAATTTGTGTAATTTATTTTATTTTTTGAGTATGAAATTTTATTTTATATTATGCAATGGATTGTATTTTTTTGTATATGGTATTTTATTTCTATTATGAGAAATTAAATGCAAATTTAATTTAAAAATTAATAAATATATAAATTTATTTTTTTTAAACATTTAAATTTACGATACGCAAAAATGTGTGTCATCTTCATTTATGACATGGCCTTTCTTGACAGGGGCTTTCTTGATACGCATTGCGTGTCATTAACACGCGCGTCGTAAGGTTACGACACGCTAATGCGTGTCATCTTCCTTTATGACAGGGCCTTCCTTGATACGCATTGCGTGTCGTAAACGCGCGTCGTAAATGAGCGTCGTAAATGAGCGTCGTCTATAGACGACGCGCAAAAGCGCGTCGTCTCTCTTTATGACAGGGCCTTCCTTGAGATGCATTTGCGCGTCGTCTGAGCCTTTTACGACGCGCAATGAGCATCGTAAAAGGCCTTTTTTCTTGTAGTGCCAACAGAAATTCGACAATTCTTGGGCCTTGCTGGCTACTACCGAAGGTTCATATAGAACTTCTCGAAGATTGCGAAACCACTTACCACCCTGACCCAAAAGGGTGTTACTTTCGATTGGAAAGAAAGACAAAACGCTGCATTCCAAACACTGAAGCAAGCTCTATGCAGCGCACCTATTTTGTCCTTTCCAAAAGGTACAGAAGACTTCGTGGTCTACTGTGATGCATCTAATCAAGGTCTTGGATGCGTACTAATGCTGCGATGTAAGGTCATTTCTTACGCCTCAAGACAACTGAAGACGCACGAAGTCAACTACACTACCCACGATCTTGAACTAGAAGCAATCGTTTTCGCACTAAAGATCTGGAGACACTATCTTTATGGCACAAAATGCACAATCTTCACCGATCATAAAAGCCTCCAGCACATTCTAAACCAAAAAGAACTCAACATGAGGCAGAGACGATGGGTTGAACTACTTAGCGACTATGAATGCGAGATTCGCTATCACCCAGGAAAAGCAAATGTAGTAGCTGATGCTCTTATTCGAAAAGAATACTCAGGCCGTCGAGTGAAATCCCTAACCATGACGATCCATTCACATCTATCCACACAAATCAAGGAAGCTCAGAGGGAAGCCTTGAAAACAGAGAATGTGGCAGGTGAAGCCCTAAGAGGAATGGATAAGAATCTTGCAGTCAAGGGGGACGGAGTTCGTTACTTCATGGATCGAATCTGGACACTGAAGTTTGGTGGATTCAGAGACGTGGTCATGAACGAGGCGCATAAGACTCGATACTCCGTGCATCCAGGTTCGGAAAAAATGTATCTGGACCTCAAGAAACTATACTGGTGGCCGAACATGAAAGCAGAGATAGCTACCTATGTGGGAAAGTGTCTGACTTGTGCCAAAGTCAAGGTAGAATACCAGAAACCATCAGGATTGCTACAATAACCCAAAATACCTGAGTGGAAGTGGGAACGGATAACCATGGATTTCATAACCAAACTACCCAAGACAACAGGTGGACTAGACACCATCTGGGTATTTTTCGATAGGTTAACCAAATCCGCACACTTCCTACTCATAAAGGAAACCGATAAGATGGAGAAGCTAACTCGAACTTACATCCGAGATATTGTACGACTGCACGGTGTACCAATATCCATTATCTCTGACAGAGATAGTAGGTTCACCTCACGATTCTGGAAATCGTTACAAAAATCCCTAGGAACGAGGCTCGACATGAGTACTGCTTACCATCTACAAACCGACGGTCAAAGTGAAAGGACCATACAAACCCTAGAAGATATGCTAAGAGCTTGTGTAATCGATTTTGGCAAAGCATGGGATACCCATTTACCACTAATTGAATTTTCGTACAACAATAGCTATCACTCCAACATTAAAGGTGCTCCATTCGAAGCCCTCTACGGCCGGAAGTGCAGATCACCACTGTGCTGGACTGAAGTAGGTGACACACAACTAGCCAAGGGACAAGTACCCAACAACACTCTCACTGGCCCATAAATCATAAGAGAGACAACCGAAAAGATTGTGCAAATTCGGGAACGACTAAAGGCTTCAAGAGACAGACAAAAGAGTTATGCGGACAAGAGACGGAAGCCCTTGGAATTTCAGGTCGGGGTCCGAGTTCTATTAAAGGTCTCGCCCTGGACAGGGTTAATACATTTCGGAAAGCGGGGGAAACTAAACCCAAGGTATGTTGGACCATTCGAGATCCTCGCAAGGATCGGCCCGGTAGCCTACAAACTTTATCTACCACAGGAACTCAGTAACATACACCCTACCTTTCATGTGTCAAACTTGAAGAAGTGTTTTTCTGATGAGACCCTCGTCGTCCCTTTAGACGAGATCGAAATCAACGAGAGTCTCCACTTTATAGAAGAGCCAATTGAAATCATGGATAGGGAAATAAAGAGAACAAAACAAAGTCGCATCCCCATCGTGAAGGTCCGCTGGAATGCAAAGCGAGGACCTGAATACACATGGGAACGCGAAGATCAGATGAAACACAAATACACCTGGGCAAGCTTTAGTTTTTGCCTTGGGGGCGAGTATCGCCAATGCTCGGTGGTGGATCTTGCCTGTCGACTAGGGATCTACGATCAACCCTTGGTTTCAACAAACATCTTTCGGGCCTTTTTGGCACACACTCATATGGTGTTCCCCGATGGAGTTACAAGCACGGGCTGGTGGAATACCATTGGAAACAAAGTTTACATCCCAAAGTCTGCACAGGAAGGGAGCATCCGATCCCCAACTCACCGCCTCATACACCGCCTTATTTCCTCCACCATCAATCAAAGAAAAGATGATGACAAGGTCTCCAACCTTGACGTCTTCTATTTATGGAGCATAATTACACCCGACGTCTTTTGCAACATCCCTTGGTGTATAGCTTCATACCTTTCGGAGGGTGCGGTCAAAGATCGCAAAACCTCCCGTATTAATGGTGGAATGTTTGTCACCCGATTGGCTAACTCATTCGGGTTGATGAACCGCGGTGCATGGAACCTCATGACATTGATCCCGACACCTCCGTTCAATCCCATTCTTTTCCGAAGAGCCCGGATTATTGAAGACTATGGTGGTGGCCATTATACCATCCCGAATGATGACCCCGTTGTTGGTCCCGAAGCACCAGGAAGGAGGGTGAGATCATGAAGAGAGCGGGATGTGGAGGACGAGCCGCCAGTGATTCCGGTCGAGAATGAAGACGTACCAATGGATTGGTACAATGTGGAGATGAGGCGGATGCAGGATCAAATGGCGCGGGGGTTGAACTTTAGCAACCAATCCCATATTTGAATTTTTGACCACTTCAATATCCCACATATTGATGGTGGAAATTACCCATTTATTCCATCTTGGGATGAGGTGATTGGTGCGCGACGGAGTGGAGCCGGAGGAAGTGGAGCCGTGGATGATGAGGAGGACGAAGATTGATTTTTGTGTTTTAATCGAAAATTTTTTATTTTTTTTGTTTTGTTTTTATTCTTATTTGGTGTGTATGACTTGTTTGAAATTTTATTGTGCTTAATGATTGTATGCTTTAGTTATTTTTCAGGGTTGGATTAGGATTGCTTGCTTAGGATGGTTTAGAGTTATAGCAAATGGATGTTATCACGAGTGAAAGCGAGTCAAGGAAGCGGAACTTTAACGTCAAAGTGTCGAGTCCGGTCCTTAGGGGTATGAGCAATTGAGTCTAATCATGGGGAAGAGTTAAAGAAGTTTTTAGAGGCTAAAACAGTTGCAAAATACCAATTTTTTCTGTTCAGTGGCCTACTCGTCGAGTGCACTAAGCTGACTCGACGAGTCGCCTTGTATTTTCACAAATTCTGAGAAGGCGCGCTGGTACTCGACGAGTCCACCATAAGACTTGACGAGTCGTTCAATTTTTATGCCAACGGACTGCTGATTTGATGCTGCTACTTGTACCACTCTCACTTATTCTTCCATATCAATTCTTGAAGATCTTACACCGATTTCCGCATATTTGGAGCGACCCACACGACACGAGAGACCCAAGACATGGATGAGATTTTACCATGTCTAAACTTAAATTGAAGTTGGAGCTTAAATGAGAGTGATCAACCTATCCACTGCTATCCCAGGGGAGTTTGTTCCAATTCCCTCTTTAGTTTCTTTTTATGTTTTTATGCATAATATGCAATGAGGGCATTGCATCACATAAGTGTGGGGTAGGGGGTTGGTTACGTAATAGTCAATTTTATGGTCAATTTTAAAAAATTTGCATACCAAAAGTATTATTTAGGACTTAATTAGAAAATTTTGGTAAAAAATTAAGATTCCATGTTAGAATTGTGTTGATAATTGCATGAAAACCCGAATGTTTAGTTGAGCTTATATACGTTCTAGTGCATTTGTGGCTTCCTTATTTCAGTGAAATCATGAGACAAAAACACAACCTTGCTCAGCCTAAGGGATGCAATATGTTTAGCAGCCTAAACCTGAAATGTATCCAGGAAAATTTTTATCGTTAGCTAAT